CTGATCACGGAAATGAAGCCTCTTCTTAACGTGACGTGAGGCTCAGAGGGCCAGTCTTCGAATAATGAGTTGTAGATCTCTTACCTTGTAATTTCTCAGGTTTGAGTTTTTGCCCAAGTGGATATTTTTCAATTTCTCTCTTTGCCATGTTCTCCACAAAACCAATCAGAATAGACTGCTTGGTAGCTTGTGTTATTCTCCCAGTAAGTAAACACAGTGTATACTGTTTTGTTTACAGGTTATGTAGCCCATGAATTCATTTTGGATACGAGACCTTTCAAAAAAACAGCAAATATTGAAGCTGTAGATCTTGCTAAGAGACTTCAGGATTACGGTAAGTTAAATGTCTTTTTTTTTAAAATGGCAGCGTGAGAACTTCTTCCTAAATCTCTTCTAAAGGGAGCCAGAAATACTCTGGTCCTGTGCTTATGGATGGTGAATCTATCACGATCATTTCAGTCTCCTCATGTTTGCTGAGGGCTTAGTGAGATAGATACCTGCATGAATTGAGCTGTAGTAGCTACTTAGAAGTCTGCTGCTACTCTCCAGTTTTGTGAACTCCCCCGTATGGGTTGGCACCAAGAGCTCAGTAAGATTCCAGCCAAAAAAAAAACCCCAACCAACCAACTTTTGAAGTAAACCAGTAAGATTTAAACACACCTGCTAGAAATGAGGCAGTTTCGTACACATACATCATGGGTACTCTTTGGCTGCCCACCATGACCCATTGAACTGCTTGATCCTCTGCAAATGTGCTTCTAACGAGTAGGCAGAAAAGCTGTTAAAACCCTAACCAGTAATACCTCGTCAGTGAAATAATCCAAAGCCTGGTTTTAATACAAAAAAACACCCTTCCTGCTCTTTCTAAGTGGGCTGCTGTGGCCGTAAGTAGCATGGGCCACTTTAAACAGACTTTTCAGTGGGTATGGTGGTGAGTTACATGGGTAAGTGTAGTAAAGTCCCATCCTCTGCAGCCAAAAGAGAAGTGCCATCAGCTGTAATTAGCAGTAGTGCAGGACAGGAATCATGAGAGGCCACCTTTTCCTTTCACCTCGTTCACCAGTGCAGAGATCTGTACCTGTCTCACTTTGCCACTCAGCTTGTCATGAGAAGGTAAAGCGACAACGTTTCTACTGAAGTGAGCAGCAAGAACAGAAATAACCTTGGAAAGAAGCAATGTTCTTCGGGCTGGAAAGGAACAAAACAAAAAGAACAGGTTTTAAGAGTGATTCATTACATCAGTGTGTCACTCTGTGTAAATAATAAATGGCATTACCCTTCAGTGTTACAAAGATACTTGAAAAGTCTGTCTTTCTTCTACAGTACACTGCCAACACTGATTTCAGTCCTGTAAAGGTTATAGAAGGGGATGAATTTGTGAGTCAATTGCTAACTAATGCATATATTAACTCATAACCTGTTGTCGGTGACTGATTTCTTCTTCATCAGGTTTTCATGCTCCAACCATGTCCTGGCCAGTGGCAGGGACCCTTATGATTGAACCAACAGAATCTGAAGACAAGGCAGAGCTGGACAGATTTTGTGATGCAATGATCAGTATTCGACAGGAAATTGCTGAAATAGAGGAGGGCAGGATGGACCTCCAAATTAACCCACTAAAGGTAATATGGGATGTAGAGAAAGTTACCAGCATCAGCTTAACCCTTGAGACTTACTTTAGACGATGGGAGCCTGCTTCCTGGTCTTTCAGTACTGTCAAAAATAACTGTGTGCAACAGTGAATGCATGAATTTAATGAAATTTGACTTTTTTAGCAACTGAACTTTTTGAGAATTTGAATTTTGACTTTTTCAAGTCAGAAGTCTGGCCTTTGCTGACAGAGCAGAGAAAGTTACTTACACAAGCACGTGATCTACAATTTTTGAGGCCATCTGAAAGTAAAGAAGGAGAGATACTTATTTATCTGGTTTAAGAAGGGAAGTGGAATGACTTTTTTTAAGTCATACATTTATTTACTAACAGTAAAATAAAGATGGAATGAATTATTTTAGCAACTGCAGCATGAAATTGCTATAGGCTCATGTACTGTTCAACTCTTGTAGTGCTGAGTCATTTAAAAATGACTTTTTAAATACCAAGGGCATTTAGTGAAAAGCTGGAAGTATATTCAAACCTTGGGTAGTATATTCAGGCAAACTGAAAAAAATGCACATACTGACTTGCTTCCTGTTTTAAATCTGCCTTTTTTCCCCAGATAAATGGTATTCTGCCTTTGCTCCATCCCTGGAGATGGATGCTCCATCCCTGGAGACGTTCAAGGCCAGGTTGGACGAGGCCCTGAGCAACCTGATCTAGTTGGAGATATCCCTGCTCCTTGCAGGGGGTTGGACTAGATGACCTTTGAAGGTCCCTTCCAGCCCTAACCATTCTATGATTCTATGATTCTCAAGAGACTCTCTAGACAGTAGTTATTTATGGGTAGTAAGGTGAACTTGAAGGAGGGTTCACAGTGATACATTCAACTGAATTCAGTAATTTCATGTCCTGAACATGTCTTTTTGTTCATAGATGTCACCACACACTCTGAACTGTGTCACTTCTTCCAAGTGGGATCGCCCTTATTCCAGAGAAGTGGCTGCATTTCCACTGGTGAGTAAATAGCTGGGTCCTAGTGGTGTGGTGATACATAAACGTGCTTTCTGCTCTGTGGTTTTCTGGTCAGTTGGGGATGAAGTAATCTGGTAAGAAGGAAAGCTTCAGAGCTGTTTTTACTGTTGCTCAATTCTTGTGTGCGAGGTCTGCAGTAGTTCCATTAGTTTTGTTTTCCAAGACAAGGAAAAAAAGATCTCAAAAAAAAAAAAAAAGCCTCTACTCAGGAAGCACAGACTTGGATTTCTACATCTCAGCACTTCAGTACTGGATATTCCGGCTGGAACAGCCCATTCCGTTCTGTCACACTGTGCCAGGAGCTCCCGAGTCAGAGTCTCACGTCCTGACGTTCAAACCTCTGCGCCGAAGCACTTGGATGAGGGTTTGATAAGATGCTTGGTCAGCATGGGGCGAGCCACACCAGTGTGAGCCTGCTGCAAGTAAAGGTCAAACTGCAGCTGGATACACCGACCCCTCCAGAGCACTACACTGGATTGCTTCCACAATATCAACAGCTCAACAGATGTGACTAAATAGATGTAATTTCTCTCCCCAAACCAAATGGTGTCCCTTTTATTGCTATGTACCATTTCAAAGAGGAAGAATTTAATTGAATTCTTTGAAGGGGGATTGAATGCACCCTCAGTAAATTTGCG